TTTTTTTATATGAAATGAACAGGATATTTCTAAATATCGCAAAAATTTAAATCGCTTTTTAATCTAAAATGACAAAATCGCAATAATAAATGCACGCAATAATTTCTGAATTTACAGTATTTTGAGTTCCTATCCTTAGTTCATGGTCCATTACTATCAGTATCAGTACATCTCAGTTTGTTGACTATTTTGAGTTCCTATCCCTAGTTCATAGTCCATTACTATCAGAATCAGGACATCTCAGTGTGTTGACTATTTTGAGGTCGTGTCCCTAGTTCATGGTATATTACTATCAGTATCAGTACATCTCAGTTTGTTGACTATTTTGAGTTCCTATCCCTAGTTCATGGTCCATTACTTTCATTATCAGTACATCTCAGTTTGTTGACTATTTTGAGGTCCTGTCTTTAGTTCATGGTCCATTACTATCAGTATCAGTTCATCTTAGATTGTTGACTATTTTGAGGTCCTGTCCCTAGTTCATGGTCCATTACTTACATTATCAGTACATCTCAGTTTGTTGACTATTTTGAGGTCCTGTCTTTAGTTCATGGTCCATTACTATCAGTATCAGTTCATCTTAGATTGTTGACTATTTTGAGTTCCTATCCTTAGTTCATGGTCCATTACTATCAGTATCAGTACATCTCAGTTTGTTGACTATTTTGAGTTCCTATCCCTAGTTCATAGTCCATTACTATCAGAATCAGGACATCTCAGTGTGTTGACTATTTTGAGGTCGTGTCCCTAGTTCATGGTATATTACTATCAGTATCAGTACATCTCAGTTTGTTGACTATTTTGAGTTCCTATCCCTAGTTCATGGTCCATTACTATCATTATCAGTACATCTCAGATTGTTGACTATTTTGAGTTCCTATCCTTAGTTCATGGTCCATTACTATCAGTATCAGTTCATCTTAGATTGTTGACTATTTTGAGGTCCTGTCCCTAGTTCATGGTCCATTGCTAGCAGTATCAGTACATCTCAGATTGTTGACTATTTTGAGTTCCATAATCCCTAGTTCATGGTCCATTGCTATCAGTATCAGTACATCTCAGATTGTTGACTATTTTGAGTTCCTATCCTTAGTTCATGGTCCATTACTATCAGTATCAGTACATCTCAGTTTGTTGACTATTTTGAGTTCCTATCCCTAGTTCATAGTCCATTACTATCAGAATCAGGACATCTCAGTGTGTTGACTATTTTGAGGTCGTGTCCCTAGTTCATGGTATATTACTATCAGTATCAGTACATCTCAGTTTGTTGACTATTTTGAGTTCCTATCCCTAGTTCATGGTCCATTACTATCATTATCAGTACATCTCAGTTTGTTGACTATTTTGAGGTCCTGTCTTTAGTTCATGGTCCATTACTATCAGTATCAGTTCATCTTAGATTGTTGACTATTTTGAGGTCCTGTCCCTAGTTCATGGTCCATTACTATCATTATCAGTACATCTCAGTTTGTTGACTATTTTGAGGTCCTGTCTTTAGTTCATGGTCCATTACTATCAGTATCAGTTCATCTTAGATTGTTGACTATTTTGAGGTCCTGTCCATACTTCATGGTCACTGAATCCTCTTTAAAATTGAGGCCAGTATTTCACAATTACCCAGTATTACCCAGTAAAACACGGGTTTTCCCCAGTAATTCCCACTAGTCTGGGTTTTACTCAGAACACCCGGGTTTTTGCCAACCCTGACTATTTTGAGATCCTGTCTTTAGTTCATGGTCCATTACTATCATTATCAGTACATCTCAGTTTGTTGACTATTTTGAGATCCTGTCCCTAGTTCATGGTCCATTACTATCATTATCAGTACATCTCAGTTTGTTGACTATTTTGAGGTCCTGTCCCTAGTTCATGGTCACTAAATCCTCTTCAAAATTGAGGCCAGTATTTCATAATTACCCAGTATTACCCAGTAAAACACAGGTTTTCCCAGTAATTCCCACTGGTCTGGGCTATACTCATAACACCCGGGTTTTTGCCAACCCTGACTATTTTGAGGTCCTATCCCTAGTTCATGGTCCATTACTATCAGAATCAGGACATCTCAGTTTGTTGACTATTTTGAGGTCGTGTCCTTAATTCATGGTCCATTACTATCAGTATCAGTACATCTCAGTTTGTTGACTATTTTGAGTTCCTATCCCTAGTTCATGGTCCATTACTATCAGTATCAGTACATTTCAGTTTGTTGACTTTTTTGAGGTCCTGTCCCTAGTTCATGGTCCATTGCTATCCGTATCAGTACATCTCAGATTGTTGACTATTTTGAGTTTCCAACCATTAGCTCATGGTCCATTACTATCAGTATCAGTACATCTCAGTTTGTTGACTATTTTGAGTTCCTATCCCTAGTTCATAGTCCATTACTATCAGAATCAGGACATCTCAGTTTGTTGACTATTTTGAGTTCCTGTCCCTAGTTCATGGTCCATTACTACCAGTATCAGTACATCTCAGTTTGTTGACTATTTTGAGGTCCTATCCCTAGTTCATGGTCCATTACTATCAGTATCAGTACATCTCAGATTGTTGACTATTTTGAGTTCCTATCCCTAGTTCATGGTCCATTACTATCAGTTTCAGTACATATCAGATTGTTGACTAATTTGAGGTCCTGTCCCTAGTTTATGGTCCATCACTATCAGTATCAGTACATCTCAGATTGTTGACTATTTTGAGTTCCTATCCCTAGTTCATGGTCCATTGCTATCAGTATCAGTACATCTCAGATTGTTGACTATTTTGAGTTCCTATCCTTAGTTCATGGTCCATTACTATATGTATCAGTACATCTCAGTTTGTTGAATATTTTGAGTTCCTATCCCTAGTTCATAGTCCATTACTATCAGTATCAGTACATCTCAGATTGTTGACTATTTTGAGTTCCTATCCTTAGTTCATGGTCCATTACTATATGTATCAGTACATCTCAGATTGTTGACTAATTTGAGGTCCTGTCCCTAGTTTATGGTCCATCACTATCAGTATCAGTACATCTCAGATTGTTGACTATTTTAAGTTCCTATCCCTAGTTCATGGTCCATTGCTATCAGTATCAGTACATCTCAGATTGTTGACTATTTTGAGTTCCTATCCTTAGTTCATGGTCCATTACTATATGTATCAGTACATCTCAGTTTGTTGACTATTTTGAGTTCCTATCCCTAGTTCATAGTCCATTACTATCAGTATCAGTACATCTCAGTTTGTTGACTATTTTGAGGTCCTATCCCTAGTTCATGGTATATTACTATCAGTATCAGTACAACTCAGTTTGTTGACTATTTTGAGGTCCTGTCCCTAGTTCATAGTCCATTACTATCTTTATCAGTACATCTCAGATTGTTGACTATTTTGAGTTCCTATCCCTAGTTCATGGTCCATTACTATCAGTATTAGTACATCTCAGATTGTTGACTATTTTGAGTTCCTATCCCTAGTTCATGGTCCATTACTATTAGTATCAGTACGTCTCAGTTTGTTGACTTTTTTGAATTCCTATCCCTAGTTCATGGTCCATTACTATCAGAATCAGGACATCTCAGGTTGATGACTATTTTTTGAGGTCGTGTCCCTAGTTCATGGTCCATTATTATCAGTATCAGTACATCTCAGTTTGTTGACTATTTTGAGTTCCTATCCCTAGTTCATGGTCCATTACTATCAGTATCAGTACATCTCAGATTGTTGACTATTTTGAGGTTCTATTCCTAGTTCATGGTCCATTACTATCAATATCAGTACATCTCTGTTTGTTGACTATTTTGAGTTCCTATCCCTAGTTCATGGTCCATTACTATCAGTATCAGTACGTCTCAGATTGTTGACTATTTTGAGTTCCTATCCCTAGTTCATGGTCCATTACTATCAGTATCAGTACATCTCAGATTGTTGACTATTTTGAGGTTCTGTCCCTAGTTCATGGTCCATTACTATCTGTATCAGTACATCTCATTTTGTTGACTATTTTGAGTTCCTATTCTTAGTTCATAGTCCATTACTCTCAGTATCAGTACGTCTCAGATAATTGACTATTTTGAGTTCCTATCTCTAGTTCATGGTCCATTACTATCAGTATTAGTACATCTCAGATTGTTGACTATTTTGAGTTCCTATCCCTAGGTCATGGTCTTTATTAAAGTACATCTCAGTTTGTTGACTATATTGAGTTCCTATCCCTAGTTCATGGTCCATTACTAACAGTATAAGTACATCTCAGATTGTTGACTATTTTGAGGTTCTGTCCCTAGTTCATGGTCCATTACTATCAGTATCAGAACATCTCAGATTGTTGACTATTTTGAGGTTCTGTCTCTAGTTCATTGTCTATTACTATCAGTATCAGTACATCTCAGTTTGTTGACTATTTTGAGTTCCTATCCCTAGTTCATGGTCCATTACTATCAGTATCAGTACATCTCAGATTGTTGACTATTTTGAGGTTCTGTCCCTAGTTCATGGTCCATTACTATCAGTATCAGTACATCTCAGTTTGTTGACTATTTTGAGGTCCTGTCCCTAGTTCATGGTTCAGCAACTTCATATTAATAAGCAATGTTGCTGTCCATCAGATTGTCTCTTCTGAATTTTTTTATGCAAACAGACAAGGCATATCTCTGAGTCAACAGTTTATTTATTATAGATAAGAATATGTGGCTTTGTGCCAATGGGACAACTCTCAATCAAAGTTGCAATGCATGAAAAATAAACAATTATAGTTCAAAGTACGGCCTTCAACACGAAGTCCTGTAAATAATGTTGACATTTACCAACATTGTTTTCCTTATGAATAAAGAATTCAATGAGGCAGTACAGCATATATAATTCTTGAAATTGCTGTATATAGTATGGGATTAGAATTACCAAACATACAGATGCATAAATGCAGAGAATGTCAAAATAGATATGTTATATATGTGTAAATTGCAGAAAGGTATCAAAAGGTTTATTTGTCTTTATTTTCTGTGTGTTTCTTACAGAGTCGTACAAGAACGCACATACTGGAGATAAACGTTATCAATAAGATGTTAGAGGGAGGAGAAGATTTAGTCACACTCACTGGTACTCTACAGAGACACATAAACACGCAGGCTGGTAAAACACGTCATAAATGTGATGTTTGTGCCAGAGAATTTAGTGACTTCAAGAAACACATGAGAACACATACTGGCGAAAAACTTCATACATGTGATGTATGTGGTAAAGTGTTTAGTCAGCATGGTAGTTTACAAATTCACATGAGAACACATACTGGAAATAAACCTCATGACTGTGAAGTATGTGGTAAAAGGTTTAGTCAGCTTGGTAATTTACAGAGTCACATGAGAATACATACAGGTGATAAACCTCATGACTGTGATGTATGTGGTAAACGGTTTAGTCGGCTCTTTATATTACAAATTCACATGAGCACACATACAGGTGATAAACCGCATATCTGTGATGTATGTGGTAAACGGTTTAGTCAGCATGGTAGTTTACAAATTCACATGAGAACACATAATGGAAATAAACCTCACGACTGTGAAGTATGTGGTAAACGGTTTAGTGAGCAAGGTACTTTACAGAGACACGCGAGAATACATACAGGTTATAAACCTCATGACTGTGATGTATGTGGGAAAGGTTTTAGTGATCTTAGTAGTTTCAAGAGACATATGAAAACACATACAGGTGATAAACCTCATGACTGTGGTGTATGTGGTAAACGGTTTATTCAGCATAGCAGTTTACAGACACACATGAAAACACATACAGGTGATAAACCTCATGACTGTGGTGTATGTGGTAAACGGTTTATTCAGCATAGCAGTTTACAGACACACATGAAAACACATACAGGTGATAAACATTATGACTGTGGTGTATGTGGTAAACGGTTTAGTAAGCATAGTAGTTTACAGACACACATGAGAACACATACAGGTGATAAACCTTATAACTGTGGTGTATGTGGTAGACGGTTTAGTCAGCTTGGTAGTTTACAAATTCACATGAGAACACATACAGGTGATAAACCTTATGACTGTGATGTTTGTGGGAAAGGGTTCAGACGACGTTGTGATTTACAGAGACACACGAGAACACATACAGGTTATAAACCTCATGAATGTGATGTTTGTGGGAAAGGGTTTAGTGATCTTAGTAATTTCAAGAAACATATGAAAATACATACAGGTAAAACATGTAAACCCAACATTTGAGATGGCAAAGGGTTGAGTCAGTTTAATAGTTTAAAGTGAAGTATGAGCATACATACCATGGAATTTACTTTATGACAGTGGTGTATATGGTCAGCATTGTAAACACATATTGTCATAAGAACATATATATATTCACTCTATGTAGTATTTGTATTTGTATCCATCTGATGAGTTAAGCCTTTTTCTACTGATTTTTATAGTTCGTTCGTTTGTTGAACTGTTGCACCACTGTCCCATGTTAGGGGAGGGTGGGATACCGCTACAATGTTTAACCCCGCCACATTCTGTATGTATGGGTCTGTCCCAGGTCAGGAGCCTGTAATTCAGTGGTTGACGTTTGTTTTTCGTTCATTTTTAGCTCACCTGGCCCAAAGGGCCAAGCGAGCTTAAAATTCTCGATCACTTGGCGTCCGTCGTCGTCTGTTAACTTTTACAAAAATCTTCTCTGAAACTACTGGGCCAAAATCAAGCAAACTTGGCCACAATCATCATTGGGGTATCTAGTTTAAAAAATGTGTTCGATGACCCGGCCCGCTTACCAAGATGGCCGCAATGGCTCAAAATAGAACATAATGGTAAAATGTAGATTTTGGCATATATCTCAAAAACTAAAGCATTTAGAGCAAATCTGACATGGGTAAAATTGTTCATCAGGTCAAGATCTATCTGCCCTGAAATTTTCAGACGTATCAGACAACCCGTTGTTGGGTTGCTGCCCCTGAATTGGTAATTTTAAGGAAATTTTTCAGTTTTTGGTTATTATCTTGAAAATTATTATAGATAGAGGTAAACTGTAAACATAAATAATGTTCAGCAAAGTAATATCTACAAATAAGTCGAAAATGACCAAAATGGTCAATTGACCCCTTAAGGAGTTATTGCCCTTTAAAAACAATTTTTGTCTCGCTTGACGGAGTCAAAAAGTGAGACATAGGTATGCTGTTTCCGGCGTCGGCGGCGACGGCAGCGGCGACGGAGTCAACAATGTATTAGTTTGTGATTAGGTCTAGTTTATGGTGAACCACTAGTGGTTAGTCAAAGATAATTGGTATGCAGTTGTATTAGCATTGGCACATCTCATTACCATGGAGATTATTTGGCCCCGCCCCCTCAGTCATGGTCTATTGACTTTGAAACTTTTGCTTAGTTATCATGTATTAGTTTGTGATTAGGTCAGTTTATGGGGAACCACTAGTGGTAAGTTAATGATAATTTGTATGCAGTTGTATAAGCATTGGCATATCTCATTTCCATGGAGAATATTTGGCCCCGTCCCCTCAGTCATGGTCTATTGACTTTGAAATTTTTGCTTATTTTTCATGTATTAGTTTGTGATTATGTCAGTTTATGGGGAACCGCTAGTGGTAAGTTAATGATAATTGGTATGCAGTTGTATAAGCGTTGGCATATCTCATTTCATGGAGATTATTTGGCCCCGGCCCTCAGTCATGGTCTATTGACTTGAAATTTTTGCTTAGTTTTCATGTATTAGTTTGTGATTAGGTCAGTTTATGGGAAACCACTAGTGGTAGGTTAATGATATTTGGTATGCAGTTGAATAAGCATTGGCATATCTCATAACCATGGAGACTATTTGACCACGCCCCCTCAGTTATGGTTTATTTATTTTGAAATTTTGTTTAGTTTACATGTATTAATTCGTGTTTAGGTCTGTTTAAAGGGAACTACTTATGATAAGTCAATGGTATTTGGTATACACTTGTATTAGCATTGGCACATCTCATTTCCATGGAGTTTGTTTAGCCATGTACTTTCAGTCATGGTTCATTGACTTTGAATATTTGCAAAACTTACATGTTAAAGTGTTGCTATTTTAATTTCAACATTTGCATTATCGAAATTACAAAAAAGCGAGACATATCTCTGTGATAACAGTTTATTTACAAATTTTCGTAAATTTTTGTAATCTTACAAAAATCTTCTTCTCTGAAACTACTGAGACAAAAATAATCAAACTTAGTCACAATCATCACTAGGGTATCTAGTTTAAAAAATGTGTCTGATGATCCCGCCTGCCAACCAACATAGCAGACATGGCTAAAAAGGGAACATAGGGGTAAAATGCAGTTTTTGGCTTATATCTCTGAAACGAAAGCATTTAGAGCAAATTGGACAAAGGAAAAATGTTCATGAGGTGGACATCTATCTGTCCTGAAATTTTCAGATGAATCAAACAACCAGTTGTTGGGTTGCTGTCCCTGAATTGGTAATTTGAAGGAAATTTTGCAGTTTTTGGTTATTACCTTGAATATTATAATAGATATAAATAAACTGTAAACAGCAATAATGTTCAGCAAAGTAAGATCTACAAATAGGTCAACATGACCAAAATGGTCAATTGACCCCATAAGGAGATATTGCCCTTTAAAGTAAAATTTTAACAATTTTTTCAGAAATTTTGTAATCTTTTACAAAAGATTTCTAAAACTAAATCAATATTATAACGGTTGCATTTTTCATGTATCAATTGTACATAAAAATATCAGGTGAACGAAACAGGCTCCTTGGAGACTCTAGTTTGTACATAAGATAGGCCGTTAGTTTTCTCGTTTGAATTGTTTTACATTGTCATTTCGGGGCCTTTTTTAGCTGACTATGCGGTATTGGCTTTGCTCATTGTTGAAGGCCGTACGGTGACCTATGGTTGTTAATTTCTGTGTCATTTGGTCTCTTGTAGAGAGTTGTCTCATTGGCAATCGTTAATGTTGAAAGTGACTTATAGACCCAAAGGGTCGGGTGTTCTAATTATTGTTTTTATATTTCACTGTATTATATTATATTTTGTGAAAAACATGTCACTATGATAAATAATTTACTTACTTACTTTCTTACATACCACGGTACCTCTTCTTTTTTTATAAATGTTATAAACTTCACGACTGTGGTGTATGAGATAAAGGGTTAAGCTAGCTTAGTAATTAAAAAAAAATGTAAGGGTTACGCGGAACACAGTGTCTCGCCTACTTTATGAAGCTAATAATGTTTTAGGATTGTATGTAATGTTAACTGGAAGAAAACTGTGTACATAATTAAGTAACATACGGAACAAGTTGCTTTCTTTAAAAAAAGAAATGCAATCGTAAACCTCAATGCTTGTTTGGCATTAAATATAAGATAATTGTTTAATAAAGATGCATTGATTTACATTATTTTTGTTGTATAAGAATAAGAAACTGACATTGATTGTTAATGTAACTACTGTTCAATGTGAGGTGAGATATTCTTGTTAAAGGAATCATTTTTTTTATCTCCTCTCCCCCGAAAGACAACATGCTAAGTCACCCACTGGATGTTCCATTCTAAGGTGCTGGTTTTTTTTTTTTTAGATAAGAGTTATTTTTCAGACTAAAGTTCAAATGCAAATGTGAAGAAATTCAATCAATTAATCATAATTATTTGTTTTTGTAGCCCGTTTGAAAATAGTTAAAAATTCTAAGCTGCATTCTGTTTTGATAATCCCAAACTAAAACCCTTTTTTATACGACCGCAAAAAAAATTTGCGTTCGTATATTGGTATCATGTTGTCGTCGTCGTCGTCAGCGTCGTCCGAAGACACTTAGTTTCCGGACAATAACTTTAGTTTAAGTTAATGGATCTCTATGAAATTTAAACACAAGGTTTGAAACCACAAAAGGAAGGTTGTGATTGATTTTGGGGTTATGGTCCCAACAGTTTAGGAACAAGGGGCCCAAAAAGGGTCAAAATAAGTATTTTTCTAGTTTCTAGACAATAACTTGGGTGTAAGTGTATGGATCTTTCTGAAATTGTACAACAAGGTTCCATACCAAAAAAGGAAGGTTGGGATTGATTTTGGGGGTTATGGCCCAAACTGTTTAGGAATTAGGGGCCAAAAACAATACTTTTCTCATACTTTATATAAATTGCTTATTTCTTGACCAATTTCAATGGGGTTTTATTCTTGAATTTTTGGGGTTCTTTAATATGCTGAATCTAACCAAGAATTAAGTTTTTGGAATTTAGGCCCCGTTTTTAAATTGGTCCACATGAGGTCCAAAGGGTCCAAAATTAAACTTTGTTTGATTTCTTCAAAAATTGAATTATTGAGGTTCTTTGATATGCCGAATCTAACTGTGTATTTAGATTTTTAATTGTGGGTCCCGTTTTCAAATTGGTCTACATTAAGGTCCAAAGGGTCCAAAATTAAACTTAGTTTGATTTTAACAAAAATTGAATTCTTGGGGTTCATTGATATGATGAATCTAATCATATATTTAGATTTTTTATTATGGTCCCAGTTTTCAAGTTGGTCCAAATTGGGGTCCAAAATTAAACTTTGTTTGATTTCAACAAAAATTGAATATATGGGGTTCGTTGATATGCTAAATCTAACCATGCATTTAGATTTTTGATTTTTGGGCCCCGTTGGCGGGGCATTATCATATTGGTCCACATTGAGGTCAAAAGGGTCCAAAATTAAACTTTGTTTGATTACATAAAAAATCGAAATTATTGGGTTCTTTGATATGCCGAATCTAACTGTGTTTTTAGATTTTTAATTTTTGGTCCCGTTTTCAAATAGGTCTACATTAATTAAGGTCCAAAGGGTCCAAAATTTAACTTCGTTTGATTTTAACAAAAATTCAATTCTTGGGGTTCTTTGATATGCTGAATCTAAACATGTATTTAGATTTTTGATTATGGGCCCAGTTTTCAAGTTGGTCCAAATTGGGGTCCAAAATTTAACTTTGTTTGATTTCAACAAAAATTGAATGTATGGGGTTCTTTGATATGCTAAATCTAACCATGTAATTAGATTTTTTATTTTTGGGCTCTGTTATCAAATTGGTTCTTATTGAGGCCAAAAGGGTCCAAAATTAAACTTTGTTTGATTTCATCAAAAATTGAATTCTTGGGATTCTTTGATATGCTGAATCAATCCATGTATTTAGATTTTGGATATTGGACCATAATAGGTTAAAAAAAAATTCAAGTTCATTAGACCACATTCATTCTGTGTCAGAAACCTATGCTCTGTCAAATATTTAATCATAATCCAAATTCAGAGCTGTATCAAGCTTGAATGTTGTGTCCATATTGGCCCAAATTGTTCAGAGTTCGACCTCTGCGGTCGTATCAAACTGCGCCCTGCGGAGCATTTTATTTTTTTTGAAAACGTATCAAACTAGTTTATATTTATAGATTTATATATATATTAAGAACCTAGGTGGTCGAGTGGTCTAGCGCGTCGGTCACAGTGAAATGCGATTTGGTGCAACGATATATCAGTAGCATCAGTTCGAATCCCGGCGAGGGAAGAACGAAAAATTTGCTAACGCAAATTTACAGATCTAACATTGTTGGGCTTATGTTTAGACGAATTATATATACACAATGTATTTTCAGCCTTGTATCACTATCACTGCTGGTGATCCGATAGATAAAATCTGTCGTCACTGGTTCAGACGTACTTATATATTAATGGTTTATATACATATAACTACTCTACAATGCTAAATCTGCAAATTGCGGTTGCAAATTTTTGTTTTTCCCCGCCGAAATACTTGTAGATAATTACATTTAATGTTTTCTTTTTATACGACCGAAAAAATTTTGCGGTCGAATATTGGTATGACGTTGGCGTCGTCGTCGTCGTTGTCCGAAGACACATTGGTTTTCGCATTCTAACTTTAGTTTAAGTGAATGGATCTCTATGAAATTTGACCATAAGGTTCAATACCACAAAAGGAAGGTTGGGATTGATTTTGGGGGTTATGGTACTAACAGTTAAGGAATTAGGGGCCAAAAATAAGCATGTTTGTAACTTCCAGACATAACTTGTGTGTTAGTGTATAGATCTCTCTGACATTGTACTACAAGGTTCCATATCACAAAGGGAATGCTGGGATTGACTTTGGGGGTAATTGCCTCAAAATTTTAGGAATTAGGGGCAAAAAAGGGGCAAAAAACAAGCATTTTTCTAGTTTCATGACAATAACTTGTGTGTAAGTGTATGGATCTTTATGAAATTGTACTACAAGGTTCCATATCACAAAGGGAAAGCTGGAATTGAGTTTGGGGGTAATTGCCTAAAAAGTGTAGGAATAAGGGGCCAAAAATAAGCATTTTTCTAGTTTCCAGACAATAACTTGTGTTCAAGTGTATGGATCTCTCTGAAATTGTACTGTAAGGTACCATACCATAAAGGGAACGCTGGGATTGATTTTGGGGGTAATTGCCTCAGAATTTTAGGAATTAGGGGCCAAAAAGGGGCAAAAAAACAAGCAATTTTTTAGTTTCAGGACAATAACTTGTGTGTAAGTGTATGGATCTGTATGAAATTGTACTACAAGATTCCATTTTACAAAGGGAAAGCTGGGTTTGAGTTTGGGGGTAATTGCCCTAAACGTTTAGGAATTTGGGGTCAAAAAGGGGCCAAAAAACAAGCATTTTTCTAGTTTCCAGACAATAACTTGTGTTCAAGTGTATGGATCTCTCTGAAATTGTACTGCAAGGTACCATACCACAAAGGGAAGGCTGGGATTGAGTTTGGGGGTGATAAATCATAAGGGGGTTCAAAAAATTTGGGGAGGGGGATTTTTTTTTCCTTTTTTTTTCTTTAAAATTTTCCATTTTAAATTGGTTGTTTCTGATTAATATATAAAAGCAAATAATAATGATATGGTTTGAATAGGAAAATTAATTTTTTTTAAGTTCTTACACCACATTCATTCTGTGTCAGAAACCTATGCTGTGTCAACTATTTAATCACAATACAAATTCAGTGCTGTATCAAGCTTGAATGTTGTGTCCATACTTGCCCGAACTGTTCAGGGTTCGACCTTTGCGGTCGTATCAAGCTGCGCCCAGCGGAGCATTTTATTTTAATATAGGTGTTGTTTTGTTGTTTGGTCATTGGCTATCATATTCACGATATTTTTTATCAATTTATAAATAACATGCACGGGCAACAAACTCAAACCAAGCTTTTGGAGTGAAACAATTTGAAACCGTAACTTTATACTTTTTCAAACGAATCTCACTTTTTTAGCTCACCTGGCCCAAAGGGCCTAGTGAGCTTTTCTCATCACTTGGCGTCCGTCGTCCGTAAACTTTTACAAAAATCTTCTCCTCTGAAACTACTGGGCCAAATTTAACCAAACTTGGCCAATATCATCATTAGGGTATCTAGTTTAAAAAATGTGTCCGGTGACCCGGCCAACTAACCAAGATGGCCGCCATGGCTAAAAATAGAACATAGGGATAAAATGTAGATTTTGGCTTATATCTCTGAAACCAAAGCATTGAGAGCAAATCTGACAAAGGGTAAAAATATTTATTAGCTCAAGATCTATCTGCCCTGAAATTTTCAGATGAATCGGACAACCCGTTGTTAGGTTGCTGCCCCTGAATTAGTAATTTTAAGGAAATTTTGCCTTATTTGGTTATTATCTTGAATATTATTATAGATAGAGATAAACTGTAAACAGCAATAATGTTCAGCAAAGTAAGTTCTACAAATAAGTCAACATGAACTAAATGGTCAGTTGACCCCTTAAGGAGTTATTGCTCTTTTATAGTCAATTTTTAACAATTTTTCGTAAATTTTTGTTCTTTTACAAAAATCTTCTCCTCTGAAACTACTAAGATGAATTTAACTAAAGTTGTAAACAATCATCATTAGGGTATGTAGTTTAAAAATTGTGTTTGATGACCCCGCCCTCAATAGTACATAGGGTAAAATGCAGTTTTTGGATCATATATCTAAACCCAAAGCATTTCTAGCAAATCTTTCAAAAACAAAATTGTTCATTAGGTCAAGATCTATCTGCCCTTAAATTTTCAGACCATTCAGGCAACCCGTTGTTGGGTTGCTGCCCCTGAATTGGTAATTTTTAGAAATTTTTTCAGCTTTTGGTTATTATCTTGAATATTATTATAGATAGAGATAAACTGTAAAGAGCAATAATGTACAGCAAAGTAAGACCTACAAATAAGTCACATGACCAAAATGGTCAATTGACCCCTTAAGGAGTTATTGCCCTTTATAATAAATTTTTAACAATTTTCATAAATTTTGTAAATTTTTTCAAAATAATTTCCACTGAAACTACAGGGCCAAGTTCATTATAGATAGAGATAATTGTAAGCATCAAGAATGTTCAGTAAAGCAAGATCTACAAACACATCACCATCACCAAAACACAATTTTGTCATGAATCCACCTGTGTCCTTTGTTTAATATGCACATAGACCAAGGTGAGCGACACAGGCTCTTTAGAGCCTCTAGTTATTTCTAGCTTGTCCTTTTGT